ATATAAATAAAATATAAATAAATCAATAATTAAATATTTTTTTGCTAAAATCATGCGAATAAACATTCTAGATCACATAAATTTCTTATTTTCACATAAAAAATATTCATATTCAAAAATCAATCTAGCAATTATAGCACAAATAATATCTACAAAATTTATCATTAATTCAATGATTTTTATTTTGTCAAACAGTTAGTTAATGATTATTCTAAACTTCTTTTTTCTTATTAATTTCACACAATCTTAACAAAATAAATCTCCATCCATTGGCAATTTGCATATCATTACTATTATCAAATATTTAATAATTGTTTTATCAAATCATAAACTACATTTTGAGATTATAAACATATAAAATTTCTATTAAGATTAAAACTAAATAACAAGTGGATATATCACATTTAAATGATTTTAACGACTTATTACCGATTTTTAAATAATAAACGGATTATATTTTTCATGATTTAATCTAATTGAAAACAAATAATATGTCAAATTGGTATGATATAAATGATATAATAAATAAATATCTACAAACATTATCTCACATATATGTATAATTTTAAACTATCCTTGACAAATATGATATATAAGTTTTGGATAACCGGTTGAAATAAAAAAATTGGTAGTTATATTTAATTCTCAAAATCTCAAAATATTGAACAAAATTCAACTTTGGGACAAATAAATCTCTACTTTTGAACGATTATATGAATTTTTACATATATTAAAATTATATTTAGTTACATGTAAATGGTGTTATTTATTAAAAATATATAAAAACTTATAGGAATGGATACGATACGGGAACATATAATTCGAAAACAAACATTATCTGAATTATTTCTCATAAAAAAAAAACATGATTAGATATATTTGTTATGAGACACAGTCATAGAGTTAAGTTCACTTTCAACTTTCAAATATAAAACTACGAGTGCGATACGGGGACATGTAATTTAAATTGCTAAATTTAATTTACACTTTACTATTTATTTCAAATATTTGGACATGAAATGACAGATACAAGAAGATAACGTATACTTCGGATAACAAAACTACAATAAATCCATGTATTAAAAAAATAGAAATACCTAAATCTTTGGAAAACAAAAAGGCTAAAACATGAATCTTTGAATTGAAGAAAGTAATGAGAAATAAAGATGAAACTGAAAGATCAATAAAATTAAAAATCGAACAAGGAATATTTAAACGAGGAATACGGGTATCCCGTCTAAATCTTTTACCAAGTTTCTTATAATAAACATTGGCAAATGATTATGTTTTAAAAAAAACGATTACGGGACAGAAATTTTATGACAGATCGAAGACGGGACGGGGCGGGGCGGGGTGGGACGGGACGGGTAAGGACGAGACAGAAAATGACAGGACGGGTTTTCAATTCTAAACTACACATAAAACAATTCAAACTAAAGCCAAACCCAAATCCGGTTTAACATCTCTAAGCAAACAGTTAGAAATGTTTTGATTAATTTAAAAGATAAACACGTAATATCACTTATATTTCATTTAAATTATTTTAAAATTGTAATTTGGTTTGGTTTAATTAAAGTGTTATGATTTGGTTTTACAATTTAGAAGGGTTAAAATTCCAAACTTTAAAATATAATATTTTCTTTCAATAGTTATCAAATGTTTTATGTTCGTATATTTTAGGGAAACTACATCTCATGTACTCAAATAAAAAACAATATTAAGAATCTATACATATTCTTTTTTTGTTACTTCTCTTTCTTAGCTACTTAAATTGGATAAAGCTGCCCCTAAAATAGATAACAAATATTTTAGCACATAACAAAACACATATCCATAAAATTGTAGAACAATTTTTACATATCATTTATATGTTTTTATGTATAAGTTAATATAACAGATGAAATATCATAATAAATTAACATGTTAATATATAAGTTAGTTGATATCAATCATATAATAAATAATTTAACTCGATAATTAATAATTTAAAATTTATAGCGATAACATAAATAATTTAACTATATACCTATGAGGTTATCAAATAACTTATAATGTATAGCGATAACATATGATTTACATAGTTAATAGCGATAACATATGAATAGCTATAAATAATTTAGCTTTATAACTATGAAGTTATCAAATAACTTATAATGTATAGCGGTACCATACGATTTACATGGTACGCTATTTTAGCAAATATGAGTTTTTTTTATTTTTTGTTAAATCGGATAAAGGGTAAAAAAGTAATTTTGTTAGGGGTGAGGAGATAAATCTAATTTTAAAGTTATCTTCCTTTGCTTTTTGTTTTCTGATCTTTTGAGTACCAATTTTTAACATGCCCATAATTTTATTCAGCAACATAATGATCCTAAAACTATAAATTATAAACTAGGATTTATTCCGTAATACACCACGGTTCCATAATTTTATATATGTATTTGGTTGGTCTATTTTGTAATTGGTTATATATTTTTTTATGTGTTATTTAATATAGACTTCTACTATTATTTTTAGTGTAATAATTTAATTGGACAGTTTTATTCTTGCTAATTTTATATAATTTTGTGAGTTTGTATTATATGTAGAATTAAGTTTTTTTTAATATTATTGTTATCATGAGTTTATGTTTCTGGTTCTCAGCCGGATTCGACCATCTCTTGAAATAACAACAACAATTTTGCGAATCTATATATATAAAGTTAACTTTTTCTCTCTTCTCCTTAAGCCACATCATCATCCACCTCATTTTATTATTTAATTTTTAAAATTAATTATACTATTTTATCATTTAATTTTAATATTTAAACCTATGTAAATAAGTTTTTCCAAAATGAATATGAAAGGTATTTTTTTATATTATACATTATAAAACTAAAAAAGATAATTGATTAAGAGTTAAAAAAATTACTAATTATCGATTATACTAACAAATATATAAATAATAGATTATAGTTTTTAGTGAATGTTTAAGATATATATATGATTATATTTACACAATGTAAACCTAAATATAATGGGATTTAACGAGAATAAAACAAAAAGTAAGAAATTTTGAGAATATAAATCTATCTAATTTATGTCTCAAAAACTTTTCTAACATAAGTGAGACATGTCGGACTGAGACATGAATTCTTATTTTTTATAAACATATAAAAAGGTAAAAATAAAAATAATATTTCCTTAAAAGTTTCCAATATGAATTTAACTATTTGTTTCCAATACAACACATATGTTAAACTAATAAAAAATAAAAAATTAACTATATTCATAAAAATGAAAATTGAAATAAAACATTATTAAATGAAATAAACTAAATATAAAGTAAATTATACTAATATGTTAAATTTAAAAAATTTTCCATATGAAAAAACAAAAGAGTATATAAAACATAAAATCAGAAAAAAATATAATAGAATATAAATGATCATTACGAGATATAAAGTACGATCAAATCCAAAAAAGGAAACCGTAAAACAAAAAATAATAAATTATGAAAATATATAAAGGAAACCGTAAAACCCATAAATCATGTTCAAATTTCATGCCAACATATAAAAGAGCCCAAAATATTAACATCTAGATCTATATTTGGTAAAAACCTTAATAGCACACGTTTCTCAATGATCCTCAACCGCACTTCCATTTACGCCCACACTTCGACTTATACTATACACACTTAATTTCTCAACGACTAATGAAGCTAAAACTCAATAGTTTTTCTATACAAACACAATTTAAGTCTTAAAAAAGTAAAGTATGGTATAGTGAAAAAAGAAGTAGGAAATAAAATACGAACCAATTACTCATAAAAAAATATAATA